ACATCATACTCAATGGTGAAAAGCTGAAGGCATTTCCTCTAATATCAGGAACAAGACAACGATGTCCACTCTCGCCACTTTTATTCAACATAGTTTTGGAAGTGCTAGCCACGGCAATCAGAGAAGAAAAAGAAATAAAAGGAATCCAAATTGCAAAAGAAGAAGTTAAACTGTCACTGTTTGCAGATGACATGATACTATACATAGAAAATCCTAAAGATGTCACCAGAAAAATACTAGAGCTCATCAACGAATTTGGTAAAGTTGCAGATTATAAAATTAATACACAGAAATCTCTTGCATTTCTATACACTAACAACAAAAGACCAGAAAGAGAAATTAAGGAAACAATCCCATTTACCACTGCATCAAAAAGAATAAAATACCTAGATATAAGTCTACCTAAGGAGGCAAAAGACCTGTACTCTGAAAACTGTAAGATGCTGATGAAAGAAATCAAAGATGACACAAACAGATGGAAAGATATACCATGTTCTTGGATTAGAAGAATCAATACTGTGAAAATGACTATACTACTCAAGGCAATCTACAGATTCAATGCAATCCCTATCAAATTACCAATAGCATTTTTCACAGAACTAGAACAAAAAATCTTAAAATTTGTATGGAGACACAAAACACCCAGAATAGCCAAAGCAATCTTGAGAAAGAAAAATGGAGCTGGAGAAATCAGGCTTCCTGGCTTCAGACTATACTGCAAAGCTATAGTCATCAAAACAGTACAGTACTGGCACAAAAATAGAAATATAGATCAATGGAACAGGATAGAAAGCCCAGAAATAAATCCACTCACCTATGGTCAATTAATCTACAACAAAGGAGGCAAGACTATACAATGCTGGAAAGACAGTCTCTTCAACAAATGGCGCTGGGAAAACTGGACAGCTATATGTAAAAAAATGAAATTAGAACATTCTTTAACACCATACACAAAAATAAGCTCAAAATGGATTAAAGACGCAAATGCGAGACCGGACACTATAAAACTCTTAGAGGAAAACACAGGCAGAACACTCTCTGACATAAATCACAACAATATTTTTTTTCGATCCATCTCCCAGAGTAATAGAAATAAAAACAAAAATAAACAAATAGGACCTAATTAAACTCAAACGTTTTTGCACAGCAAAGGAAACCATAAACAAAACAAAAGGACAACCCACAGATTGGGAGAAAATATTTGCAAATGATGTGCTCAACAAGGGATTAGTCTCCAAAATTTACAAACAGCTCATGCAGCTTATATCATCAAAACAAATAACACAGTCAAAAAATGTGCAGAAGACCTAAATAGACTTTTCTCCAAAGAAGACATATAGATGGCCAAAAGGCACATGAAAAGATGTTCAACATCACTAATTATTAGAGAAATGCAAATAAAAACTACACTGAGATATCACCTCACACCAGTCAAAATGGCTATCATCAAAAAGACTACAAACAAGGCTTCCCTGGTGGCGCAGTGGTTGAGAGTCCGCCTGCCGATGCAGGGGACACGGGTTCGTGCCCTGGTCCGGGAAGATCCCACATGCCGCGGAGCGGCTGGGCCCGTGAGCCATGCCGCTGAGCCTGTGCGTCTGGAGCCTGTGCTCCGCAGCGGGAGAGGCGGGAGCGGGGGGGGAGGGAAGGAAAAAAAAAAAAAAAAAAAAAAAAAAAAACAAAAAAAAAACGACTACAAACAATAAATGCTGGAGAGGATATAGAGAAAAGGGAAACCTCCTACACTGTTGGTGGGAATATAAATTGGTACAGCCACTATGGAGAACAGTATGGAGGCTCCTTAAAAAACTAAAAATAGAGCTACCATTTGATCTTGCAATACCACTCCTGGGCATATATCTGGAGAAAAACATGGTCCAAAAGGATACATGCACTCCAATGTTCATTGCAGCACTGTTTACAATAGCCAAGATATGGAGGCAACCTAAATGTCCATCGACAGAGGAATGGATAGAGAAGAGGTGGTACATACATACAATGGGATAGTATTCATCCATTAAAAAGAATGAAATAATGCCATTTGCAGCAACGTGGACAGACCTAGAGATTGTCATACTGAGTGAAGTAAGTCAGACAGAGAAAGAGAAACATTGTATGATATCACTTATACGCGGAATCTAAAAACAAATGAACTTTTTGAGAAAACAGAAAGAGACTCACAGACTTAGAGAACGAACTTATAGTTACCAGGGGGGAAGGGTGGGCAAGAGGGGCAGTTAGGGAGTTTGGGATTGACACGTACACACTGCTATATTTAAAATGGATAACCAACAAGGACTTACTGTGTAACACAGGGAACTATCCTCAATATCATGCAACAACCTAAATGGGAAAAGAATTTGAAAAAGAATAGATACATGTATACGTATAACTGAATCACTTTGCTGTACACCTGAAACTATCACTATCACAACGTTGTTAATCAACTACTTTCCAATATAAAATAAAAAGTTAAAGAAATGCCTCCCAAAATGTTTGCAAGTGAATTCTATTGAAAAGACATGAAAGATATGAATGAGACTTAGGGGTCCACAAAAGAGAAAGTTGTATATTATGATAACAAAAATAACTGATGATGCCTTTTAGAAATAAAAAAGAAAAGTCTCCCATGAAAATAAATAAGTAAATCTAAGTTGGGAGCCAAACCACTAAACTAAGCCTCAATTTGTTTTCTCTTCAACTTGAAGATACCTGTACTTCTCACAAGAGGCAGGCAAGACCTTGTTCTTGCTATAAATGCCTACTGCTGGCTCTGAAAAAAAATTGATTTGAAGGACAAAGTAGCCACTTATGAGGACCAACCACACCACCCATTTTCCTTCCCCCACAAAGATCTTTATATTAAAAGAGGCCTGTGGTGCAATCCCAGGCCCTGAGTAGCTCTGCTACTTGGCTTTACAATTGACTAAAGCTGCTCCTGTAGCAGATGAAATACCATGTGCTTTTTGTAAGAGGCTGTTACCCTCTGGGCAGTGGACTAGTAGTTTTATTTTTCTTTTCCTCCTCCTCTTCCTTTTTGCTTCATAATCTTTTTTCAAATTATAACTTTCATGAAATCCAGATAAAAATAGGGAAAAGTAGAGCTTCTCTGTTAGGGCTAAGGGTGGGTGTCCATAGGTCAGTTCAGTCATTTTCTTTTTTTCTACCTCCAAATCAGTCCCCTACCTTCCCAGCCCCCCAGCCATTACCCTAAGCATTTAAAGTAACTTCTTAAGGGCTTCTTGCAGCAGCTGGTTGGGGAGGGGTAGGGTGGTGGAAGAACACTGCATTTTGTTTCCTTCTAGCGGTGGCATTTTAAAAGTCTAATATTCAGTAAAGACAAGATGCAACAGGTTCAGCAAATTAAAATATCTGGGTTATTAAGAAATATATCTTAAACATGCCCCTAATTCTTGATATGTTTCTAACAACAGCTGGAGAAACACAATAGGACCGTAATCAGATTCCCACTAGGCCCACAGGAATGATATAACTAATAGAAGGTACAATTAAGTGGTTGCCAGGAGCTTGGGGAAGGGGAGCATGGGAGTTACTGTTTAATGGGTACAGAGTTTCAGTTTTGCAAGATGAAAAGTAGATGGACGGTGGTGATGATAGCACAGCAGTGTGAATGTACTTAATGCTAATGAATGTACGCTCAAAAATAGTTGGCAAATTTTAGATGGAAAATTTTATGTAAGGTGTATTTTATCATATTTTTTTAAAGGGCAGTGATTTCTGGAATATCATCCAGCCATTAAAAGTAATAGTCATTCAGATTTTGTAGCAACACAGATAAAAAGGCTTATGACAGTATGAAATTTTTTTAAATGAGGGCAAACAAATTCAGTTAATATCTAAAATATATAAAGAACTCATACACTCAATAGCAAAAAAACATAAACCTGGTTTTAAAATGGGCTGAAGATCTGTATAGACATTTTCCAAAAAAAGACATACAGATGGTCAACAGGTACATGAACAAATGCTCAACATCACTAGTCATCAGGCATGTGCAAATCAAAACCACAATGACATACCACCCTACACCTGTTAGAATGGCTATTATTGAAAAGACAAGAAATAACAAGTGTTGGGGAGGATGTGCAGAAAAGAGAACACTCACGCACTGTTGGTGAAAAAGTAAATTAGTACAGCCAGTAGATTAGTAGATTAGTAGATTAGTAGGTTTTTTCCTGACCATAGTGGTTTCTTCACATCACTTCATGTCCCTGTAGACACACAGAGAAATAATTCACTAAAGAGTTATTGGATTTTTTCAATTATTTACATATATTTATTGAGTGCTATTTAAGTACAGGGCACTATCCTAGATATTGGGGATATGGGTTTAACAAGAAAACATCCCCACCGTCATGGGACTGCCATCTAGTGAGGAAACACAGCTAATAAATAAATAAACAAACAAAAATATGCTGGATATTGATAATGCAGAGAATTAAAATAGGTAATATAAAAAATAGTAGCATTTTTAGATTGGGAGATCAGGGAAGGCTCAAAGGATGTGAAATTTGAGCTCATATCTGAATGACAAGAATCAGACTTGGGAAGAGAGATGAGCAAGCCAATGCCAAGACCCTGAGCAAAAATAAACATGCCTGGTTTGAGGAACTGAAAGAGCCATTGTGTCTGGGGAGTACTGGGTAAGGGAGTGGTATGAGGTGAAGACATTGCCCCTTCCTTCAGGAACTTGTGATGAAATAGAGCTTGCTAGTCCTATAGATAGTTCCTGACACTTCTCTTTTAGCATAAACTTTCAGATGACTTAAAATTTACAATATTCTGCAAAGCAGAAAAGTCAAAACTTTTAAAAAAGAATTAAATCTCCATTTTTTTTCTGTAGACTATAGTTTCCTCATCTGTAATCAAAGGGAGCGCATGGCAATGTTAGCCTCAGAGAGGAAGCAGATATTAATGCATATTCCACAGAACCAGTCCATGCTAAGAAATCCAAATTGTTCTCCAAAATCAAGGCTTACTTATCCTTCCCATACTCGAACTTCCCAGGTCCAATTCGAAGCAGATAGCCATTGAGCCACTTAGGAAAATGTCCCCGGACTCGAGCAGAGATGATCTGCGGAGTCTCCTCCACCGTGGTTAAAAGTGGTGCAATACACGGAAGGCTCTTCCGCTTACTGAAAATCACTTTTTTCTGATGAGTATTTTCCATGTACTTCTTCAACACTGTGAAGAGGAAATCAAAAGCACAAAAATTTTACCAATCTTCTATGAACATTCCTGTTTCTCCATAGACAATATTCTCATCTACTGGTAAGAGAAGTATAAACCTAACACCAAATATAGTCCCCAAATTCCTCTTCTTCCTCATTCTCAGACCACCAACTCTTTGGTTCTCCATTTTTGAACCACAATAATCCTTTTTGTGTTCTTGCAGTACAAATCTGCCTAAGAATTAACTCAGGACTTTAGTTACCACTATTGTCATTTCTCATAGTTGAACAATGCTGGTCTTTTCACAACACTGAATCTACATGCTAAGCACAGATGTACTAATAGCTACACATCATTGTTATAATAAAAAATACCCACCATTCAATATTATCATAATTACATTGACCTCAGTACTTTAGGTACACCAGAATGTGATCCCAAAGATTTCATAGTGATTTATGAGAATTTAATAGGATCTGCAATTTAATTTCTGCCATTTTTTAAAATTTTTATTTATTTATTTATTTTTGGCTGCGTTGGGTCTTCGTTGCTGCGTGGCTTTCTCTAGTTGTGGGTAGCGGGGACTACTCTTCGTTGCAGTGCATGGGCTTCTCATTGCGGTGGCTTCTCTTGTTGCAGAGCACAGGCACTATGCGTGTGGGCTTCAGTAGTTGTGGCACGTGGGTTCAGTAGTTGTGGCGCTCGGGCTTAGTTGCTCCACGGCATGTGGGATCTTCCCGGACCAGGGCTCAAACCCATGTCCCCTGAATTGGCAGGCGGATTCTTAACCACTGCGCCACCAGGGGAGCCCCTAATTTCTGCTATTTTAATGGTACACACATGAGTGAACATGGCATTTTCTAGGAAAAAGGTATCATAAATTAAATTATGCAGTGAAACCTGGTCTGAAATTACCTGAAATTCAAAAGCCACAAAAAAGTCATTATTTTATAATAGAGCTGAAAATTATCCCTTTATTTCATATTTATTCAGTGTTCACAGGCAGTATTTCCTAACACAGAGGGGTGGTCAAGTACATAATTAATTAGATACTATAAAATATAGTCTTTTATTTTATTTCATAAAACTTTAACAGTGATGAAGTCTAAACTAGAAAACCTAACTAAAACATAGGGACACTATTGTTTTAGCAGAACATTTTATAATATTGTATCTATTATCCCACTTCTTTCAACTCTTTCAAAAATTGAGTTTAGAGCACTTGAGTCCTTCTACTTTCCTATAAGTAACAATTTGGTCAAACCCAACTATTTCCTGATTTCCCAAAGAAAATTCACTTTCACCCTGAATGTCCTTCCCACTAATCTATCCCTAAGGAAATTTTATCTATTGTTCAAAGTCTATCTGAAATGCTATTTCCTTTAAGAGGCAGCATAGTGTAATACTTAAGAGTGTGGGCCCAGGCTCTGACTGGCTCTAGAATGCTTGGGTTCAAATCTTGGCCTCCCATTTTCCAAATAATTAGCCTTGAGGAAGACCACCTCTCTGTGCTGCTTCCTCCTTCTAAGATAGGAATAATAATAATCCTTATTTCTCCTAAGGCTATAAATAATAAACAGGTTAGGTTATATTAAGTTTTTAGAACATAGTAAATACTCAAACAATTTTTTGAGTCTTTTTTTATAAATTTTTTTTAAATTTATTTTTGACTGCATTGGGTCTTTGTTGCTGCATGCAGGCTTTCTCTAGTTGCGGTGAGCAGGGGCTACTCTTCATTGCAGTGCATGGGCTTCTCATTGCGGCGGCTTCTCTTGTTGCAGAGCACAGGCTCTAGGCACCTGGGTTTCAGTAATTGTGGCACAGGGGCTCAGTAGTTGTGGCTTGCGGGCTCTAGAGCACAAGCTCAGTAGTTGTGACTCACGGGCTTAGTTGCTCCATGGCATGTGGGATCTTCCCAGACCAGGGATCGAACCTGTGTCCCCTGCATTGGCAGGCGGATTCCCAACCACTTCGCCACCATGGAAGTCCCTCAAACAATGTTACCTATTATTTATGTAGCTTTCAATGACCAATCAACAAGATGTAATATCTTCTTTCTTTGAATTATTTATTCATTCAACAAAGTGATAGGCACTGCTGAGGGATAAAAAGTGTTAGAACTCAGATGTAAAGGAACTCACTGCCTAGGAAACAGACATATAAGTAGATCATTTATACTGTAGTCAGCGTTTTGTTTGAGCATTATTTCTCAAGGTCTGGCCTGGGGTCTACTTGTAACAGAAATACCTGGTGTTATTGCTAATGAGCAGATTCATGGACCCCACTCTGGACCTAAGAAATCAGAATCTCTGAGGTAGGGCAAGCAGGTATTCTTAGGCATACTACAATAAAATTTGAGAACCACAAGATTAGAGGTATAAAGAGGATGCTTTGAAAACTTAGAAAAGGAAACCCTCTGGTATTTATCTTACTACTTTTATTATTATTATGCATATTTATCTTATTTTCACTCTTAGATTAAAATAAGTTCCCTGAGGTCAGATCTTTTACTCCTCTTACTTAAGTAGAAGTAAACTGAATACCCTGATTGGGTATTTGTCTTAATAGAGATTCATGAACTTAAAACATGTTACATTTTAGAAAACATTTACATGTTTATATGTTCTGTACTCCATAGCATCCTGGTGGCAGTTTATTATATATTCTTCATATTTCCCATAGTGCTTGATATTGTAGGCACCAGCTCCTTAAACCCCTTTCTATTCTTAGCTTCTGAGACATTGCACTTTTCTAACTTTCCTGCTTCCTCTGTTTGCTTTATGCCAGCTTCCTACTTACTAGCTAGCAACCTTGGGCAAGTTACTAATCACTCTGAGCCTCAGATTTTTCAATGATAAAATGTGGATAATGAGAATAAAAGGCAGATAAAACTTCCTGTTCAAGTCCATCATCATAATTAAATATAATAATAATAGATAATTTCCAAAAGTTAATTCCCTTTATTGGTTCCTCTTCTTATCACCTCATGAATGTGTTCCTAAAGTCTGACCTTGGACCTTTACTCTTTAACCTCAGCACTCTCCCTTGGTAATCTCATCTAGTCCCTTATTTTCACCAATTACTTCTTGCAGGTGACTCTCAACATGTCAAAAGAGAATTTTTCATTTTCTCCCTTCCAAATCAATTTTCCCACCTGCTAAATAACATAGCTTCAAAATCTCTGTGGGCCTTGAATTTGTCTTCCTTCACTGTCCCCCTAACATTCAATAAGTGGTTAAATTCTGCTGATTATACCCACACAATGCCAGGAAGAGGACAAGGGGATGATATAGGGTAGCCATTATATATTACTAGGACTCAGAAGTTTGCAAGGGTGCCTGGGACAAATCCTTTGCAAAGATTTTTACCAGTCCATCTCTCCTGGGTAGCTCCCCCAATTTTTCTTGCAGCCTGAACCTGTTCTCATAAGCACTGATGCTTCATATTCTCTTGCCTAGCAGTAACTTCCTTTCTACTGTCATAATTTAGGTCCTCACAACCTCTTAGATGGATATTATCACAGCCTCTTACATTGAAACTAGATAGGGAAGCTATCATCTATGCCAGAGCTTCCTAATTGGTGGGCCTCTTGATCCCCTTAGTCCTTAGGATGGCCGAGGCCCCATGTCAATCACCTCCAGCTCTACACAGCTCATGGGGTTCCAGATCCCATCCAATTTACTCCACTATGCAGTAAAAATATTATCATTTTCTATGTGAGCTATAACGTAAAAGCATTAGGGAGCACTGCTACTGAATTCATCTTCTAAGCCACAGATCTGATTGTGTTGTATATTCCTCTATAAAACCTTTACTAATGACTCCTCACTGTCTACCAAATAAGGTCTGAACTACTTGGCCAGGCATTGATGAAGGCACTGTACAGTCTCACACCAACCTACCTGTCCAGTAATGCGTCTCACTAATACCTTCTCCTCCAGCCAAACTGGACCGCTCTCCAGTCTCTTCTCATCATAATCGTATACCTGTCTTCACCTAGGATATTTCTCATCTACTTAAGGTGATGCATCCTTCAAGATGTCACCATCTTCATAAACACAATATTCCCATTACATATAGTAAGAACTGATTCTCCTTAGTCTGAAATCACACAGCATCTGTTTTAGCTCTCTTACGGCATTTGTCTTACTCCACCTAGTGTGATAAAGATGAATATAGTTTATGACTTCTACTACCAGTACTCCTTGAGTACAGGGTCTTGTTTTTGTCTCCACCCCATTACCTAACACATTGCCTTACGTAGAGCAAGCACTACATTACTGAATTAAATAATTTATTTTTTTATTTTTCATTTTTTTGCAGCCCTGAAATTGAGCATTTATTCTTAAATCAGATGCAGCATATTTTTTTAAAAGATATATTTTATATACTGTCCCTTTCTCAAAAGAAAGCAGCAAGACTCAGCAATTAATTACCCAAACCTAATGAGGGAAACGTTCACAAGTGACTGCAGCCTGGTATTTATCAGAAAGATATAACAGCCTGGGCGGTTGTTATTTTCCCTCTTCAGGTGCCATCCCCCCATAAAGCAGGTTTTAAGAACAATGGGAATGTGTGGTTGAAGGACAATGAGGTTTTCTCTTGTTTTTTTGTTTTGTTTTGTTTTTGAATTTTTGAATTTTATTTATTTTTTATACAGCAGATTCTTATTAGTTATCCATTTTATACATATTAGTGTATATATGTCAATCCCAATCTCCCAATTCGTCACACCATCACCACCACCCCCGAATTAAATAACTTTAAAGTTTTTAGTGCATATCAGTATGATGTCTAATAGCTCTATATCAGCCAATTTCAAGAATAAAATCATGTAACAGTTAGTAGATACAACAGAAAGCTACAAAACAATAAACAGAGGTTTTAAGGCAGTCCCCCAGAATGCAAACAGAAGAACCAAACATTTACATTAGAACATGTAGCAGTGATTCTCAAATGAGAAAATTCTAAATAGTGAATATTCTTCCTATTGCAGATCCAAGAGAATTCCT